AAGTTACCTTTCTCCACATGCCTGAAAATAATCCCTCAAGAAAAGTATAAAAGCAATAATAAATTGGTGAGTTCAATGCACGACTGTTTGTGAGATTCTGCTGTGCACAGTTGGCAACCTTGTTTCGCCCACAAATATATATCAATTCACCTTACAGTTTATGCTGTGAGATATTTTGAGATGTCTAGACGTTGCGAAAAGTGCTGTACCAAATACAATGACTATTATTTCAGATATTAGGAGCTGAATTATAGATTCTGCTATTTATATTATGAAATGCTACTTAACGTAGACTTTGCTATATGCAAATTCGCTGCCACATTCGTTTACAAATGCAATATTCATTTGATTGTAAATCGGATTTGAGACGTTGGCCCAATGTGCAAGGGGTAAACTGAAGGACAAGCTTTCGTGTGCAATTGCACAGATTATAAAATGTTACACGGGTAATATACATGTTGTTAAAGACAGTGAGACGAGGAGCAGACGCTGAGCTTGACACACAGATAACAGAGATTGTCACACAGTGCTGCCGCACATTGTGTGTCAGGCCCCTCTGATGCTGTGGCTGGTGTTAGTGAACATCATTAGCTGTTGCTGTGCTGCCTGGTGGCTACAGGGGCTCAATATTGGAACTGAACGTCAGGCCGTGTTGTGGCCGTTCAGCGACGATAGGCACAGACGGCTTTCCCTGAACGGGACACAATGTGGAGCTGATGTCGCTCAGCCCCGACCTTCACTTCCCGTCACAACCTCCGCTCAAACCTGAGCATCACCATAGCCTCCAACCCTCGGCCCCATCAGTGAGCGGAGAGTGACCGTGTGGGACCCACTCCAACCTGAGCACTGGCACCACCTCGAACCCTCGGCCCCATTAGTGAGCGGGCAGTGACCGTGTGGGACCCACTCCAACCTGAGCAGCAGCACCGCCTCCAAACCTTCGCCCCATCAGTGAGCGTGAAATGACCGTGTGGGACCAACTCCAACCTGAGAACCGGCACCGCCTCCAACCCTCGGCCCCATCAGTGAGCGGGCAGTGATCGTGTGGGAACCACTCCAACCTGAGCAGCAGCACAGCCTCCAACCCTCGGCCCCATCAGTGAGCGGGCAGTGACCGTGTGGGACCAACTCCCGAGGGACACAGTCGCTGGAGCAGAAAGCGCTGTTTGTTTCAAAGAAACTTAGATAAATATCTGTTAGGAGCATAGTATCTGGGGATAAAACAACAGCAACAACAATCTTAAATTTCTACAGCGCTTTTCAGGACGTGAGGATGTCCCAACGCTATCGACAATCAGTGTTTCAGCCCCAATCTGTGGGTCGCGATTGAGGAAGGTGGAGGACAGGACGTAGCAGGGTAGTCAAAGGCGAAGTCGCAGCGGAAGGTCTTGAATATTGAGATGGTTGTTGAAGAGGAAACTGGGAAAAACCTTGACTGTTCATTCCTGTGATACCTCAGCATCTGACCCCGAATTATATGGTCTATAAAGGAAACACGGAGAAATATCCAAACGTACAGTGACTTCATCCACTTAAGTTGTCTATCAAAAAATCAAACTTTCAAGGTAATATTTTGAGAAAATGCCCTCTTTTCACCAGATCAAATATGTTTGCGGACAGATGATTTGAAATGCCACAGTCAGGGTTCTTGCACTCAAAGTAGTGTCATTCCAGCTGATCAAGGAGACGTCTGGGCCTGGACAGGAACTTGTGTTTCCTCAACGGAGAAATAGCTCATTCAATGCCGAAATGTATATTTTTTTGGATTTTGTGTAGTATACTACAGTTGAAGTAGTTTTAGATAATAACGTCGATTTATTTACGTTTATCTGGAGTTAACAAATCATCGATGCAAAATATAATGTTGATGAATGTGAATTAAAAATTGTAGATGATAATAATAATAACATTTTAAAGTATGACAGGTATATAAAACTATATATTGCTAATCACTATCTGTGGGTGTGAACACTTCTAACTTGAAAGTGTGCATCATGGTTGCACCCAAAGCAGACTTCGAAGCATATTTGTCCAAGTGCCTGTATCGATTTTTCTAACACCACAGCACAAAAGTAGTTTGAAGAGCACATTTCAGAATCTCAGAAATCAATGAATGAATTGCCCATGTTGTTATTGTTTTAGATTGCAAGCAGGCAGAAATATTAGGTAACTTTCTTTACTGCACTCGGCTGCTTACTTAACAGTTTGTAGCAACCTACGTCTTCCACGAAACTTACCTTAAAAGAAAATAATAAATCGATCACTCAATCAGCAATTGTGCGTAGGACACTGCTGTGCGCAATTCACTTCCGCATTTTGCTCACAAAATACACAACCAATCCAGTTTACTGTGTACACTGTGGAGCGCTTGGAGACTTGACGTAGATGTGATCAGACGCCATTTCAAATGAAACGGTTACTATTATTGTAATTGGTATTAAATATATTTTGTTACTTTCCAAGTATTTAAACATATTTATATATTTCCTATAAACAAATTCCCAATCTTCCCAATAAATATATTTCAGCACACATTTGACGGAGGGCTATGAACATATTTCGTAAAGTTTCGTGATATATTCCTTACTTCACACGCCTAATATTAATCCCTTCAAAAAACAAAAACAATAATAAATTCGTCTTTTCAATCCACGACTGTTTGTGGGACATTGGTGTGCGCAATTGGCTGCCGCATTCGCCCACAAATATACAGTCAATTCACTTTACAGTATATTTTGTGAAGCGCTTTGGGACGTCTAGAAGATGTGAAAAGCGCTACGTGAAATGCAAGGATTATTATTATTTATTTGTGAAGGAAAGGCCCACGGAATGGAAAATCAAACATTTCTTCACGATGTTAAGAGACAAACAGTTTTAATTGTTTCGGGAGAAGGAGCTGAAACTTAAGATATATTGACTGGATTTCTAAGGAAACAATGTAAAGCCGATACCTTCTCCTTATGTTGGAGGTTTCGCTGTTTGTGGAGATATTCATCAATGCTGCTGAAGTTCAACAATGTGCGTAGCCAACTCTTTTATTGTGTTCTTTATATGATGCATCGACATTAATTTACCAAATTTATGAAATGGATAAACTAACACTTTCTTAAGCTTCTCTCTAAACTTCTTCTGAGTCAATTCATAAATACAAGGGTTGGTACAGGAACTCAACCTTTGCAGCATGATTCCGGATTCTTGGACGACATACCGCGTATTATTGACAAACGTTTCGCTATAATTAAAATTGGAAAGTTGCCATTTCACGGAATGTATAACAAACGTTGTCCACAACAGTATAAAACTGCCCGATATTGCAATGAGTAACATTACTGAATTCATTCGGTTTTCTAACTCGGAAGCAATTGTTTTCTGATCATTTCTCAGAACCCGAAGCCTCCTGCGGACTCTACTGACCATCAGAATGTGCCTTATAATAAGAGCATTGAACAGACAAATCAGAGCAAAACCAAACATGGGAGCAACAACACGGTGAAGCCTTTCAAACGCTTTCCAGGTAACTAAGGTATAACAGCTTGATTTCGTGATACAGTACCACGGCATATTGTTAAGAATGATCAAACGTAAAATACCAAGGACTGTTCACTGAGCAGCTGAAAACAGACAAAATTACAATAACTAATGTGTCCATTCTCTCACTACAATAATTTGTTTTCATTTTTTGGCAGCAAATGGCTACAAAACAGTCGAAAGTGAAAGGAACTGTGAACCACAAAGAGCTGTGGATAGCTGCAGACATTAACGCAACTCTAACGCTACACACTAAAGTGTAGAATAAGATACTTAATGGGAAATAGAGATTGTTAATTTTGTTCAAGAAATTATCTACAAGGACAACCAGGAAATCAGCCACTGCCATGGCTATCAAATAACGAGTGATGTAATTGGAGAGACCGCACTTTCCTCTTATCAGGATCACAATCGCCAGTAAATTAACTGCAAGAATCAACAACAACACAAAACGTAATATATGAACAAAAAGTATTAGGTTGAAAATGCAAAGATTTATAATACCAGATTCTATTGTCTTAGAATTATTTAAAATACGTTTGCACAAAAGCTGATAGTGCAATTTAATTATATATCATTTAAGTTCAAAGTGACTTCTTCAAAATTTTATTGATTGTTGAACCAGAAACGTATTCATTTGCTTAAAACAGTTTCGTTAGAGATGTGAATGTGGAGTCCTGTAGCTCAGTGGTTAGAGCACTCGCTTTGCAAGCGAGAGACCTGAGTTCAATTACAGGTAGAGGGCGAAACCTTGGGCCAGTTTCTTTACGCCACACGACTAATAATAATCACTCGAAAACCAAATACAATAATAAATTGGTCATTTTCAATCTGCGACTGTTTGTGGGACACTGCTGTGCGCAATTGGCTGCCGCGTTCGCCCACAAATATACAGTCAATTCGCTTTGCAGTGTGTTCTGTGAAGCGCTTTGGGACGTCCTCCCGACGTGAAAAGCGCAATATCAAACGCAAGGATTATATTACTATTATTATTATTAGAATACACTGTGAAATGGATTTACTATATGCTATGCGGACGAAAAGCGGCAGCCATTTGCACACAGATGTGTCCCACAAACAGTGGTGGTTTCAAGTGACAAATTGTTTTATATTTAGGAATCAGTAAAGCGATCAGCCTATCGACTAGCAATTGGGTTTTACGTACTGATAGGTAAACAGGCGCATGTCAATTGCGAAATGAGTGCTCTAACCACTGAACTACAGGACACCTGGCTGTCACCTTCAAAGCTCTCCGTGGTCCTTCTCCTCCCTAGCTCTCTGACCTCCTAAACATTCAACATGCTGTTTGCTCCCTCTGCTCAGTGGGCTCCAACCTAGTAACCAATTGTGCTTGAGCGATTCACATACAGAAACACACAAAAGAGTCAAAAAGGGAAGCCATTCTGAATGGTAAGAGATTCACGTGAGAGTAAATACTCAGGCTGTGATCTACATTCCAATTTAACAAAAAATACTGAAACCCGGTGTTGAAACAGGAATCTTTAGATCTTCAGTCTAACGCTCTCCCAACTGAGCTATTTCGGCTGTTGTAAAATTAAGTGTTTCCTCTTCTTTTCAACAACTGTGCAAACTTTGTGTTCTGATGAAATTCATTTTATCATCTCGTCACGCCTTTTCGGGACTTTATTACAACCTCATACTGACAAAAGTTTCCATTTATATGCGGCCCTTTCGGGTTAGGAGGATGTCTTAGGTGGATTCATCACAAATGTTTGGGAGCTCAAAATGAGGCTGTGTTGAATGTCACCCTTCAGGCAGGTTTTGGTCACAGTAAGGGTCTAGGGACGACCAAGATCATAATGTTGGGTTGGATGTAGAAGACCTTCGGGTCGATCGAATGTCATCCCTTTGCCTTAGTCTGTACCATCTTTCCTGACAGCATGTCCCAGTCTATAATACCTAGAAAACTATCAGATTTTTTGGAAACCTATACGGTTCTTAAGCATCTTGAATGTGTAGGTGCCGTGAGTCTGCTTTCCCTGGTTGGAGAATCTAAAACTAGGGATCATAGTCTCAGGATTAAGAGTTAGCCTTTTCGAACAGAATTGAGGAAGGCTGCGGATGCTCAGTCCATGAACATATTCTACACTGATGTCGATTGCTTTCTGAAGGGTAGAGGGGCTAAGACTTATGGGGAAGAGGATCAATGGAATCAGCTTACAGTATCAGCCACAGTATGGCTCTATAGCAGGGCAGGCTCGAGGGGCCAAATAACCTACACCCTGCTGCTGCTTCTTACGGCTTTATGGTCTCTGCATAGCGTAACACGTACTGAAATCTGTCCGGAAATAAGACTTTACAGCTTCAAGCATATGTCGTCTTGCTTTACTCTCTTGTTACATCCTAAATCACTGTCTGGTTATACTTTTCCAACTCATCTGTTTATTTCATCCACCGCTATGGAGCCCAATCTGAGCTGTTGTTTTCTCTCAGTACAGAAACGCCGTAGATTATTCTAATCGTTGATCCATACACGTTCCACAAATATAGGGGATCAAGGTGCCTTCTGGTCAGATGACTGTAAACCAACAAGTGTGTGTGTTTATTATGGTAATCCTTGCAGCGACTTCCGTTTAATTATTTGAACTGAAATCGCTAAATTCTGAAGCTGAGTGTTCAAAACTGCACCCTGGAGCCCATGTCAAGGCTCTCTTTAGTTTCATATTCGCTTCCAGATCTCAGTATTTTATAAATAAACAATTGTGAGAGGGTCCTCTTAAATTCAGAAACTCGAAGAAGAGACTCTTTACAAATCATTCAAATCAAGACGGAATCACCGGCATTTTCCAATGAAATTTGGCGTTTATTCGAGTTAATTTCCATTTCATTCGATGTATGCAGTAATGATATTCACGTATACCTCAGTCAAGTCAAGGGAAATACAAAACGGTAAATTGATCATGGAAGAGAAATTCGTTATTTTGTTTGGATCCAATGTAAAGTAGCTGTTTCGAAACCCTACAGACGCGATGAGCGCAATATGAAAGCATTTTGTTGTAACAGCAAGAATGATTTATGTACATGAGGCCAGGGAACATTCTTTGCTTCACCAATGCAAAGATTTAGTTTCATTAATTTGAACGTTCCATAACAATTTTATATTTTTAACCAAATACGAGTTCTCATAGAATGATTCACAGAATGTTACGGCACAGAAGGAGGCCATTCGGCCCGTCGAGTCTGCTGCTCTTTGACAGAGCCAGTCACTTTCACTTACCCCAATCAACAGCTTTCGCCCCATAACCCTGCAAACCCGTCTTCCCCCGATACCTATCCAGTTTTCTCTTAAAAGCTGTTATCGAATCGGGCTTCCCTACCCTTTCGCGCAGATCATTCCAAATTCCAACAACTCGCTGAGTGAAAAAAACCCTTCTAACCTCTCTTCTGCTTCTTTTGGTAGATATCTTAAGACTGCGACCACTGGTCACAGACACACCTACCAGCGGAAACAGCTTTTCCTTATCTAGCCTGTCGAAACCTTTCATTCTTGAAGATCTGTATGAGATTCTCGCGTAACCTTCGCTGCTCTAATGGGAAAGTCCTAACTTCTCCAGCCTGTCCTCATAGCTAAGGTTCCCCATTCCTGATTTAGTGCTCGTGAATCTCCTCTGTACCCTTTTCAGTGCCTTAATGTCCTTCCAGAAGTAAGGTGCCCAAAACTGGACGCAGTACTCCAGCTGAGGCCTCACCAGTGTTTTATATGGATTAAACATAACCTCCCTGCTCTTACACTCTATGCCCCTACTAATGAAGCTCAGTACACCAAATGCGTTTTTACTGCCTTAGCTACCTGTCCCGCTACCTTTAATGATTCGCTTACTTGAACACCCAGATGTCTCTGTGCGTTCACCCACTTTAAGATTGAGCTTCCAAGTCTATAATGCCTCCTATCATTTTTTCTACCTAAGTGTATCACCCAACACTTATCCACATTGAAATCCATTTGCCACATGTCAGCCCATTTCACCATTCTTTGTATGTCTGCTGGCAGTTGATTACAGTCCTCCTCACTATTTACTACCCTACCTAACATTGTCTCATCTGCATACTTGGAAATATTGCTCTATATGCCCAAGTCCAGATCATTAATATATATTAGAAAGAGCAGTGGTCCCAATTCCGATCCCTGGGGGACACCGCTGCACACTTTCTTCCCTTTCGAGAAACAGCCATTAATCACCTCCCTCTGCTTCCTGTCACCCAGCCAGTTCTTTATCCAAACTGCCACTGTCCTCTTAATACCGTGGGCCTCTATTTTTTGTATTAATAATAATAATAATAATCCTTGCATTTGATATAGCGCTTTTCTCGTCGGGAGGACGTCCCAAAGCGCTTAACAGACCACACTGTAAAGTGAATTGACTGGAAATTTGTGGGCGAGCGCGGCAGCGAATTGCGCACAGCAATAATAATAATAATAATAATAATCCTTGCATTTGATATAGCGCTTTTCACGTCGGGAGAACGTCCCAAAGCGCTTAACAGACCACACTGTAAAGTGAATTGACTGGAAATTTGTGGGCGAGCGCGGCAGCGAATTGCGCACAGCAATGTCCCACAAACAGTCGTAGATTGAAAATGACCAATTTAATAATTGTTTTTGGTTTTCGGAGGGATTATTATTATTAGGCGCGTGGAGTAAGGAAACTTGCCCAAGGTTTCGCCCTGTCTGGAATTCACCTCAGGTCTCTCGCTTGCAAAGCGATTGCTCTAACCACTGAGCTACAGGACTCCATAACCTCTTATGCGGTACTGTGTCAAAAGCCTTTTTGAAATCCATATAAAGAACGTCCACCTCAATTCCCTCAACAACCCGCGCAGTCACCTCTTCAAAAAATTCTATTAGATTTGTTAGGCAAGATTTGCCTTTAACAAATCCATGTTGGCTGTCTCTAATTACCTCATGTTCTTCGGAGTAGAGATTTATTCTGTCCCGGATTACGCTCTCCATTAGCTTTCTTATTACCGAAATTAGGCTGACTGGCCTGTAATTTCCGGGCTTGTCTTTCTGCCACTGTTTGGAGAGTGGGTTAACATTAGCTACTCTCCAGTCTCTTGGCATCACTCCTGTGTCCAATGAAGATTGAAATATAATGGCCAAAGTTTCCGCTATTTGAACCCGTATCTCTCTCTGTAACCTTGGGTGAAACCCATCAGGTCCTGGTGACTTATCAATTTTGAGCCCAGTTAATCTTTTCAGAACTTCCTCTCTGTCTGTAGTAATCCGATCTATTTCCTCTACCCTCTCATCCAATACTGCGGCATTTGGTGCATCCATTTCTGTTGTGAAGGCAGATGCAAAGCACTCGATCAGTAAGTCAGCCATGCCCTCTGCCTCCACAACAAGATTGCCGCCACTGTCTTTGATTGGCCCCATCCCTACCTTTAACTCACCTTTTTTCCTTTATGTGCTTGTAAAATAGTTTAGGATTCCCCTTTATGTTACCCGCTAACCTCTTCTCATGCGGACTTTTAGGCTGGTTGTCACTCTTTTAAGATCACTCCTGCATTCTCTGTCAGGCGCTTTGCTATCATCAGTATCTTGCGTCTTCCAATAGTCGTACACCGTCATATACTTTTTTATCCTGGACAGAATATGCTTGGTCATCCAGGCTGGCTTGGTTGTCGCACATTTGTGGGATATATCCATTTAGACCTTGAGCTATCATATCTTTGAATATATCCCATTGCTCCTGAGTCGTTTTACCTGCGAGTCTTACGTGCCAGTCCACCAAGTCTGGGTCCCTTTTTAGCCCATCAAAATTAGTCACTTTCCAGTCAAGCATTTCACCCTTGACTCTACTTTGTCCCTGCCCATGAGAAACCTAAACCTCACAATATTATGGTTACTGTTACCTAGATGCTCCACTACCGAAACCTGTTCTAATTGACCTATTTCATTCCCCAGGACTAGATCCAGCAATGCGGCCTTCCTCTTAGGATTGGAGACATATTGCTCCAGAAAATTTTCCTCTACACAGTCAATGAATCTTTCTCCTGCCTTCCTCTTAGCGTTGCTATGTTGCCAGGCTATATTCAAGATCCTCATCCTCACCTACTAGGCCATTCACGGCCTCGCTCCCTCCTAGCTCCCCGACCTACTATCCCCCTATCTACCTGACCTTACACTCCGTTCCTCTGGCTCCGGTCTGCTCCACATCCCCCGCCCCAACCGCCCTACCAACGGTGGCGTCGTCTTCAGCCTCTCAGCCCCGAGGCTCTGGAACTTTATCCCCCAGTGTGTTCGCCTGGCTTCCTCCCTTTCCTCCTTCAAGCCCGGTCTCCAGACCTTTCTCTTTGACCGAGCCTTCAGCTCCCCTCTCGACTCTCTACCCCCTCCTCGCCCCCTCCCTTCCCTCCCACTGACCATTTCCCCCCTCCCCACTCCCTCCCTTCCCTCCCGTCACTCTGACCATTTTCCGTCTGCTCGGGTCCTGACCCAACTGACCAGCTCTTTGGGACGTCCTCCCGACGTGAACGGCGCTCAAAAATTGAATCTTGTTGTTGATGTTGTGGTGTATTGG